GTGGCGCACAACGGGTAAGATTAACTTAATAGCGCACTAAGTAGGAGCGTGTTTTGTCGATGACGCATAGAACCTATCGGAACATGTTCGTCGTAAACAACATTTTTCTAGGAAAAGGGGGTGTTATCGCGTAGACTAAACAATCTATCTACGCACTATTTTTTACGACGCAGTACGTAAAAAAAACAAAGGAAGAAATGACGTCATCGGGACAATGATCGACCCGATGACACAGCGAACCTATTGGAACATGTTCGTCGTAAACAACATTTTTCTAGGAAAAGGGTGTTATCGCGTAGACTAAACAATCTATCTACGCAGTACGCGAGACAAAGAAAAAAATGACGTCATCGGGACGATGATCGACCCGATAACGCATCGAACCTGTCAGAACATGTTCGTTGTAAACAAATGTTTTCTTGGAAAAGGGGGCAGTTATAGCGTAGACTAAACAATTTCGCACTATTTTTTACGACGCAGTACGCGAGACAAAAGAAAGAAATGACGGATAGACCGCATCGAAGCTATGATAAAATTTAGGTAGGGATGGACATGCACGCAAAGAAATTACAGCGTTCATTTAGGTGTAAAAAAAAGCCTGTTTATTAAACTCTCCTTTTATACAATATATCTTACGTGCTAAAAAACTAAAGCTGCAAGCTCACAATCGATGAGCTGATTTGTATTGAACGCATCGTTAGCGTATATTACATTCGACGCTTCCTTGGGATCCGCCGCAAGTATTCTGACCAATTGATCGAATCTTGCATCGATGCACCGATTGAGATCAAACATACAATGCAACGTCGATTCGGTCATCATCAAGAGTAGGTAAGCTATATTAGTTCTAACTCGGGGATCTGAGGGGGGTGAGGTGCGGGGGGAACCGCGTTTTCGGGCGCCGCGGGGGAGGGGAAGGGGGAACCGCGTTTACGGGCGTCGCAGGGGAGGGGGAGGGGTATACCGCGGGTGGGTATACCGCGCGTACTTGTAGAGTCGTTGAGTATGAGATAGTTGTACGACTCGATACGAGATGCCAGCCGGATGCCAATGTTGTCATTGCGTGCACAGCCCCAAAGGCGGTGATGCGCGTTTAGATCTCCCACTATGAGTGCATATTTGTAGCCAGATGCAAAGTTAAATAGATCATTAAGCGCGTGTGCTGGGGTGTCGTTATTGGGGTGTCTGTAAACATTGAGCACGAGTAACTCGCTGTCTTGGAAAGGTAAGATGATGGCAGCCGCCTCAATAGAATGATGTAGTGTGAAGGGTAGCTGAACAGAGGATGCTTTGAGATTTGATCTTAGAAGGAAGCAAATGCCGCATAATCCCGGGTTCACAATATCATACATTAGAGCGTAGAAACCTTTAACGCTTGAATACACTATTGGTACCTTTACCTTAAGGTGATTGGGCTATGTACCATATGAGTCAATATAAGGGCTAAAGAGCATCGGCAAAAAATGCCCGTTTTCGGTACCTCGATTTTTGAAACTTTTTTTATGCCAAATGGTTATTTATGATGACCCAATAATCCCTGCAAAATTTTAAGAGGAGCATACGCCCCGTTTAAGAAATATAGGGGGTCAAAGTTGACCATTTCCAATCAAAAAATATAGCAGCTTCACATTTATACTCCAATAATAATGTCCAAAAAATTCAGCCAAAATGGTTCTTTTAAGATTTTTGGCTGCTGATTACGAATCTGAAGTCAGATTTTAAAAATTCAAAATGGCGGATCCAATATGGCGGACTGATTTTTCTTAAATTCATCAGATTCACTTGAAACTCGTTACTCGGGGGTTTTGGGGGTCGCTGATTGCGAATCTGAAGTCAGATTTTAAAAATTCAAAATGGCGGATCTAATATGGCGGACTGATTTTTCTTAAATTCATCGGATTCACTTGAAACTCGTTACTCGGGGGTTTTGGGGGTCGCTGATTACGAATCTGAAGTCAGATTTTAAAAATTCAAAATGGCGGATCCAATATATCTAACAAAGGCAAGATGTAATAATCCAACCAACGAAGGCAAGATGTAATGCATAATCCAGCCAAAAAAGCATAAATTTAAGTCATTAGCATGAAAAAACAAAGAGTACAAAAAAAATCTTACTATTTATCATTAATAATATTTTTCAAACAACAATATTTCCAGATTTTCGAAACTGAAATTACTTTTATTTTATTACATTCGCAAGCATAAGATACAAATAAGATGGAGGATGGAATGTGTTACGGTTAGAAGAGTAACTCAGGCACCTTGGTTACGAACGAATGTATTTGATGTATTCTTATTCAACAGATACAGTAATAGGCTGATACGATACGTCATGCACAAGACTGATGCAATGGACTGATATAAAAAATGTAATAGCGGATCGTAACAAGGCACGCGTGCACGCGGGACGTCTCTCTCTCTCTTTCTGAGGGCGAATAGAACGGAACCGGATCTAATGAAATTAGATGGCGTATGCGTTGCCGTCTCGAGCGCTGTCGTTCCGAGCGCTGCTATCGTGCAGACCGTCCAGGGCGGCCACCTCAACACAATGGAATGTTAATGAAATGATGATCTGCTGATCGTCTTTTGTTTTCAGGGTTTTGTAACTCTAGGCCGAACTGTTTAAAACGAGACTCAGTCCGCTCGATGCTCACCGCTCCTAGGTAGAATATAGGTCCAATGTAAGGAAAAATAAGTCCATTGTAGGACAAAATAGGTTCTATGTAGATTTAATGTAGTGACAAAGAAGATTTAGTGTTGGTTAAAAGTTAGTTCACCGTTAGATTCGTGATCAGCGACCCCAAAAACCCCCGAGTAACGAGTTTCAAGTAAATCCGATGAATTTTGAAAAAATCAGTCCGCCATATTGGATCCGCCATTTTGAATTTCTCTAAACTGACTTCAATTTTGTAATCAGCGACCCCAAAAACCCCCGAGTAACGAGTTTCAAGTGAATCCGATAAATTTAAGAAAAATTCGTCCGCCATATTAAATCCGCCATTTTGAATTTTTAAAATCTGACTTCAGATTTGTAATCAGCAGCCAAAAATCTTAAAAGAACCATTTTGGCTGAATTTTTTGGACATTATTATTGGAGTATAAATGTGAAGCTGCTATATTTTTTGATTGAAAATGGTCAACTTTGACCCCCTATATTTCTTAAACGGGGCGTATGCTCCTCTTAAAATTTTGCAGGGATTATTGGGTCATCATAAGTAACCATTTGGCATAAAAAAAGTTTCAAAAATCAAGGTACCAAAAACGGGCATTTTTTGCAGGGGGCTTGCCGATGCTCTTTTCATGTAATTTATAAGCCGAGTCACCAACCAAATGGCTATCTTGTGGGAATTTCGTAACATCTCCCAAATAATGTTGAACTTCTGATTGACGAAATACCCGTTGATTGTGGACAGATCCAACATGTCCAGCATAACAATGAATAAATTGGCATTTATGGTCACAAATAGCCTAAATAAGAAGAAAAATATAAACATATGTAAACTCAAAACTTCCCATTTTTGTCCCCTCGTTCGCAATTGATGTAATTATGTGGGGAGGTTTTGATTGCTTAAACTCACAATGCGTGTCGCAACGCGTGACGCGCTCACTGAGAACGTATCCTTAGATATTAAGACAGTCTTGAAATAAAAACGGACTACGAAATAAAATTTGAAGTAAAACAATAAACACACCTGAAGTTGGATGGAATGGTGACCTTTGCGATTTATATAACATTCGGGATTGTTTTTTGAGGCTGGAATGTTTATATGTGTTCCGTCTATAGCTCCAATAATTTTAGAAAATCCACTTGCATTTTTAAATCCTGCTCACACTTCGTTTAGGCCACTTAATAACAATAGGCGCAAGCTCATTGAGTGCCTTTACCACTATCTTTGTTATATATAAAGCAGTGCTTCTTCCAACATTAAATCGTTCACAAATTGACCTAAGCATAAAAAAATAAAAAGCTATATAAGATTTTAAAACTTAAATCATTGAATATATTAAATATTTAACAATAATTCTATTACCTAAAAGAATCTGGAGTAGCTAGTCTCCATAATGCCAACAGAAATTGTGTGCGCGGATCAATCATAGGTGTTCCAGGTATTACCCTTTTTAATCTTTGCTCGATACAAGATAAGATATAATCAAAAGTTTTAGGTAACATCCTAAATGGCAAAGACATGAAATATGAAAGACGTAAAATGTAATTTTTTAAAACAGAAATTATTAATATTAATAAACCATACCTGAAATGGGCTTTGAATTCTTTTTTAGTTAAATTTGGTATTATATGTGACACGTAATTTAAAATTCTTGGAACACGTCTTCTTACATTTCTACAATTTCTTATTATTTTTAATTCTTCATCATCGCTTTCTGATGATGAATCAGAAGAAGAATCTATTATTTCACGTATTATAACAACGGCAGTCGTTAAAATTTCGCGATTGTTATAATGCGTGATGATTTGCTCCTCTTGCTTCATAGCTTGCTCCATGATTTCAATTTTTAGGTTAATATTTGAAGTTAGGTTAGATCAAACGCGACGCTATTGCTGTTCATAGAGCTTGCATTCGCAAACGCTATCTTTGCTCTGCGAACGCAATTTGTAGTGTTAGCGTTGGTAGCGTGATAGCGAGCTCCCCAAACGCACCCATAGTATAGTAGTAACTAGGGTAAATGTTTACAATTAGGGCCTGACCTCCGATGACCTTGACCTTGACATATGTTGTCAAGGTCACCCTCCTGAGTGACCTTCAGAAGGTTTTAGTCGGGGGTCGCTATTCGTTAAAAAGTTATTAACAAAAAAAGTTTGGAAAATTTAGCAGTTATTTTGAGTATTGGAAGGCATAAATGACTAATATATATGTCGAAATAGTTCATTGTTCGCGAAATCGCTGATTAATCCCGGCGATGGAAGCGGGATGAGAAGGACGCGCGTGGAAGGTGTTAACTAAATATTTACTTTATTTTTGTGTAACTTAGACCACAATCTGAGC